TTAGTGAAAGTGATAACACTTCTTAGTAAGCATAAGAAGTTATTAACACGGTATCACGACAATTCAGCGCCGAAAATTCCAAATTCGGTTCGGCAGCATCAATTTAGCGTGGCAAAAATTCGACTAGGCAACAATTCGGGGCGGCTTCAATTCGGCGCGTATCTAATATAGTTGCTTTATAAGTATAAAATAGAGGATAGAAATCATGTTGAGGGTTGGGTATCAAATAAAAAAAATTTAATAAACAAATATTTATACTCTGATTAATTTGGTGGACTAATTCACCATGTTATAAGATATGTTGATCCAAAAATCAAATTATTTTATAAAGTAAGGATTAACAAAAGGGAATTCTCATGCTAGAGGTTGAATATCTAATACAGTTGCAATTTATAAGTATAAAATAGAGGATAGAAATCATGTTGAGGGTTGGGTATCAAATAAAAAAAATTTAATAAACAAATATTTATACTCTGATTAATTTGGTGGACTAATTCACCATGTTATAAGATATGTTGATCCAAATATCAAATTATTTTATAAAGTAAGGATTAACAAAAGGGAATTCTCATGCTGGTTGAATTTTCCAATCATATCCAGCGATTGAACTAATTTCGAAAATAATTATTGAATTAAAAATAGATTTACCTTTAAGACTGACTTATTTTATAGATTTATTAAATCCCTAAAATAATTCAATTGTGTTGTAATTATGGTAACATGCAAATTTACCAGATTAAGAAAAACGCCAGACAAGCAAATTATTGTTAAACAAAATTACGAAGCATCTACTCAAGAAAAAAGAATTAAATTTCGATACAAATTGAGACTATGCAAATGTTGATTAAAGAAAAAGGATATATAATGGAAAAATTATGATGCGAAAGAGGATGATTAAATTATGATTTTTTACGAACTTAATTTTTTTAATCTTTAATTTTTTTATATTTCTTATTTTAATTTCTTATGTTAATTATGATTATGAAATTAGTATTTATATTAATTAATAAAGTATTAGTAGTTTATTTATACGATTTATTTTATTCCCTAAATTCTCTCAACCACTACATTTGTTGGCCGAAACATTATGTTCTATGGACATATTCAGTCTCCATAACATACTAAAATGTTACAAATTGATCATAAAAAATAAATATCATTTTTAAATCAGGGTTTTAAACCGACCGCGAAACAGAAACGAACCGTTATAATTTTCTGAATCGTAACCGTTACCGAACTTTTATAAAAAAAATATTAAAAGAGCGAAGCGAACTGTTATAAATATTCTTGAACGAATAAAACCAGTTCACAAAATTTAAAATTATTATAAATTTGAAATTTTAATTTTGGCTATTTAAATCTTTTTTAGCCTCCTCAAAAAATTAAATGCAAGTTGTTTTTATCCCCCCCCCCGCTCAAGTAGACGCTGATTGAGGTTATTGCATTTGACCAGTCTACAAATTTCTTTATTGAAGTAAATGACAGGGGCGTCGCTAGCCTTCACACTCTCAGGGGGCTCAACTAAAAAAAATTTTATGGGTGGCTGCGCCCCCATACCCCCCAATTTGCGGGCCTTCGGCCCGCTTTTGCCCAGCCTTCGGCCTAGTTTTATATAAATATATTATACTTTTTTAAAATTTGTTAACTCTGAACAATTATTCTGATTTTTAAATTTTGTCATTTATTATATTATGCATACAAAATAAACTGGCATATAAAAAATCACATAATGCAATAATATAATTCTTAGCAACTTATATAGACAAGAGGTTATCAAACTAGTATAAATCTCCTCTGTTATTATTTTAGACAATGTTTTAAAGAATGGACTAATATGGTAAAATTTATAGGCCTAGACCAAATCAGCAATTTTTGTACTAGAGAGTATAAACGACCAATCCAAATCATAAAACTCTATGGTGGTTAGAGCTGCCTCTTAGATGACATTATGGAAGCCAGATAAGTAATCGAGAAAATTATTGTGAAATATTAAATTTCTAAAAGATTATCTTCCATTTTAAATGATATATAAACGACTACACAGTTGACCATTATTGTTTATCTAAAATATGCAATTATATGCTCTCAGCCGTTATAGTATTAATCTTAAATTATATAGCAACACAAATAATAGATGTTGGTTAATTTGCAGTAATAGCCATGACACTCACGATGTAAACTAATATCAAAATTGATTATGTTGGATAAATTGTTAAAATAAAAACACTAAAAATATTTGGAAGAAATAATTATGCAAATATATTGAAGCCTGGAGTTATTTACATGGCAATGCCATATTAGAAATGAAACATTTTCTAACTATAAAATAAGGACCAGAATGATATGATGAAACAATTAAGATTTTATATATTGTCGCACCACCTTGGTATATTTTACCTGAAAATAATAGTAGTTTGTAATAATATCAAAAATATACTTGTATAAAAAATTTAACTCAAGACTGTTTTTCGATAATGAAAAAAGATAGCTTTCCTAAAAACACGTAAAAAAGAGAAGAAAAGATATCAAATTTATTACATCTATTGCAGAATGAATTATAAAATCTTTAATTTTAAAAATTATTTATAACTAAATAGATGGCGTTAAATACTTGAATGTAATTTGATTATATTTATTATCAAAACCATTTATTGATAAAATTTATTATAATATTAACTTTAATATATTATATAACTATCAAATACGTCTATAAAAGTAGCATTATATCTGAAATTTTATAAACAACTGTCTATAGTAGAGGATTATAAACTATATGTCTACTTACTTTTTATAAAGAAATCTCTTATACTTATTTGGACCTTGAAAATATTTTTAAGGTATGCTAATAAATTTCAAAATAAATATACAGTTGATTAGTCATTTTGAACTCGGCTAATTACAATATTAAATTTGTTAATTTTTAAATAATATATGATTATATTTATTTAATTAGGGTTAAATAATAATTTAAATAATAAAAGTCAATTGAACTTCAACTGTTAAAGCTAAATTAATATTTAGTTAGTTATTGATATTATATTTTTAATACAGAATTTGATTGCAAGCTGACATAGTGAAAAGATAATTTATATATATTAATCTAATCTAATCATTAAAATAATATTCATTTAATAAAAATTTAAATAGTCTTATTAATTTTTAAATAATAAAATTATATCTATATATTACTTAATGGAATTATAAAAGAAATCATTCAGTGGGCAGTCAAAAAAATTTATTTTTAGTTCAAGGGGGATATTAAGGAGCCATTAAAAAAAAAATTTTTGCTTCAGGGGGCTATTCAAATTTTTTAGGGGGCTCGAGCCCCTGCGCGCCCTTCCCCCCCCCCCTAGCGACGCCACTGGTAAATGAATATTTTTATGTTAATAATATACCTTCTAATTATAATGAGACTAATCAAATTGAACTGGAAATATTAAATTATAATAGACAAAAGAATTTTTTCAAAAGTATGACACTATTTTACCCTTTTCATCTCGCTATTTAATACAAATTTTGTCAATAGACCAAATAGGTATAGATTGTTCGATAAATTATTTAAGAAATTAATTAAATTAAAAATAATGATTAATTACCAAAATTATAATGTAATTTTTTTATACAAATTATTAAATTGTCTTAAGAAATTAATTGAAAAAAAAAAGATTAATTTTAAAATTTTTAATTTAGGTAGTGCACAATAATAATTCATTCATTGTAAATGAGGGGGTTTTTAATTGAGTTCATGATCTAGAAAATAACTCTCTTATATTCACAATATTACAATATTTTGATAGTTGGTAGTAGAGCTAAAATAATTTATGGTTAGAGAGTAGGCGTAGGTTTATGGGGGGGGGGGGGTTGCATTGAGTGAAAATCTTGTCATGTAGACTCTGTTGTAGGGTTCAGAAAAGCCCTATACTAAATTTATAAAAAAATTACAACTAAAATACATCAAAAAAAAAGAACAGAGACTACTTCTTCATCTTTTCAAGAATATATATTGAAAACAGGCTAAAATTCCTTAATACCCAATCTCAAAGATTATGGAATTATTTACAAAAATATACATATAAAAATATTTATATATCTGAATATTTTGTTACTAACCTAATATTCGAGGATATTAAAATGAAATTATTTGAATATCCCATGAATTATGGTGTAGTTATTAATTTATCTGAGAAATCTTTATAATATCTGAAATTCCAAAGTTAAAAAATTTTTTTTATGAATGATTTAAGGTTAAGATATAAAATTCCAAGAGATATTATTTTATTAATATACTCTATATTTATAAAAATTAGATATACCTAATTAGTGTTGTTAAAAGGCCAATATTCGACTTTAAATGACACAATTATGGATTTAGCCAAAATAATATTTTGTAAGTATCGAGATTTGGAATATAGAGATCCAAACCTTTTTATTACCTATGAGCAAAATCTCCAGGCCTACATAATATTATTTTGGCTAAAACTAATGATATACGTAATCGGACCTTTTTAAAAAATAGACCAATATTGGGCTGTTTTACAACATTATACCAAATAATTTTTAACATAAACTGAAAATCTAGCCAATATTGAAGTTTTGTAAAATACCTTTTAAATTTTTATTTTTAATGTAGCATTTTATGTTTTATAAATAAGATTGTATTGAATTAGTATTACAATTTACAATTCCATTCCAATATATCTAAATAAGTAAGATAAAATATTAACTATGTATAAAAAAAATATATGATCTATGGTTTTCTTATAAATGTATATAATATTATTGACATCTCTTTATATTATATTTTAAACTATATTCCATTATTACATAACATATTTATCCCAATATTTAAAAGCAATCAATTCTATTTATGTTATATAAGTATAATTATATTAATTATATCATTTGTTAAATCTTTATCCTATAGAAATGATTGATTAGTAAAAAAAAGTCGCAGTTATTTTTATATGAAAAGTTTTAATATGAATGTTCCCAACCACATTTTTAAAATAAAATCATATGATTAGGCCCATTTGTGTAGTCATATTTATAATTATATTTCGCTTATTTAATTGTTGGATCATACGTACATTTTACGTTCCAGATGAATATTGGCAGGCTTTAGAACCAGCTTATCAGAATATATATGGTTACGGTGAATTAACCTGGGAATGGAAACATGGTGTTAGAAGCTCTTTGCTTGCTCTTTTAATATCTTATATATATAAAGGCTTGTCTTTTTCTGGGATTGATACAAAGGAAAACATGATATTAGGTCCTAAAATAATGATGACTATATTTGGAATCATGTGTGATATAATTTTTTATATTTGGTGCCAAAAACTAAATTATATAAATAAGGAATTATCAGGGAAATGGATTTTTTTTGCTTATATATCAAATTGGTTTATATTTTACTGTGTACCACGTTCTTTAGCTAATACTCTTGAAATGTATTTTTATATCCTTATCATATATTTTTACCCACATTGGAGTATATCCCTAAATTATAAAATTAATAATAGATTTATAAAAGATCTTGTTCAAAATAGTCCCTACATTTTTTTAATATTTTCAACTATATTTTACAGACCTACATCTGTACCATTAATAATTTTATTAGTTTTTCATTATGTTAATTTAAAATATAGATTTAATTTTATCATTATTGTTATAATTAATATTATTTTATCCTGTCTGTTGCATTTATATGTAGATTATATATTTTACAAAAGTTGGCAATTGACCTGGTACAATTTTATAAAATTTAATTATTTTCATAACATAAGTATTTTATATGGAACTCAGCCTTGGTATTGGTACATGCTTATAGGAATTCCTGTTATTTTAGGACTGCATGTGTTACCAGTGATGTATGAATTTTTTTATTCAAAACTGACTGTTATTAGCACATTAATTTTATCAATACTTATTCTTTCAATTTTTCCACACAAAGAATTTCGTTTTTTGTTGCCAATAATACCATTTTTTTCCATATTAGCTGGAAACTTTTATGCAAAATTAGACAATGGTAAGATTGCATTTGTCAAAAAATTATTTCCCGATCATTGGAAAATAATTAAAAATGTATATATAGGTTTAGTGATCATAATACATTTGAACATGGCAATATATTTCAGTTTGATTCACCAAAGAGGCACTATAGATATCCTTAAATATATATATAAACAGTCAAACCTCCAAAATACATCCACTTTATTGTTAATGCCATGTTATTCCACTCCACATTATTCCCATTTGCACAAACACATTAATATCAGGATGTTATCATGTGAGCCCAAAATAAAAAATGATAAAAAGGAAAATTCTCATAAAACAAGCATTATTTTAGAAGATGAATATGCTATGTTTTTAAATAATCCTGATGAGTTCTTACAAAATATTATGGAAAAAGCTATCTCAAAAAATCTCACTTATACACATATCTGTTTCTATTCCAATGTTTATCCAAAATTGGAATCATCAAACTATTTCAAATCTCACATGAAATACACATATTGTAAAGAATTTTTTCATACTCATTTTCCATATGATAATATGTCACGCTACATTATATGCCTATGTAAATTATAATAATCCAACAAAATAATTATGTAGCATAATAATTTATATATTTTTTCATTGTATATAACTTTTGAAAATATATATATTAATTTATATTTTTAATTTTTTACTCTCTTTGATTGATTTTTCTACCTATGGTTCTGCTTTCATTTATTTAATGTTGGTTAGAAACAATATCTATTATGCTTAATTATTCTTGTTTTAAAGACCAGTACAAATTATAATTATTGATCTCAATTTGTGTTTCAAATTCATAATACCCATCTGTAGGCTTAACAGTTTGTTAAGACATTCTATTTTTCAAGTAAAAAAGCAAAGAATTCCTACAAGGGTAATCAAGTGCTAGATTTTTTGATAAAAAAATGACATGTTTAATTTTTTAAGCAGGAGTTTTATAGCAGTCCTATTATTTATAGGGGCTTCATGTTCATCCAGTATTCTAGACTAACTTATGTTAGAATTAGAGGTGGGCGGGGGCCATGAAATTACTCTTTACCTATCGTATCACGGCATGGAATAAATTTTAAATTATTAGGCGTAACTTCCCAAATTTTTCCCGGGCGTGAATATTAATTTTCCTAATCGCGGATATTTTAAAATTGTTTTTTTATAAATATAAATTTGCAATTTTATAATATATATTTTCTAATTTTATTTAATTCTTTTTTAAAAAAAGGAATATAATTTTTGAAAGCAAAAAATCTTCCGCATTTTATAGACAACATTCATCATTTTCCTTTTTATATTTAGGTGTCTTGTAGGATTTTATAAGCTAAGCCAAGAGTTAATATGTTGGTGTTAAATATGGACAACAAAATAAATACTTGTAAGCCCAAAAAACAGGTCCGTGAAGTTGGCGGAATGACTTGAGGATCAGCAAAACCTATGCCAATATTTAGAGTCTTAATTGATCTTCAAACCAGACATAAGCGGAATCAAGGGTAAATGAGTTATAAGCAAAATAAGGAAAGTGTGAAATTTTGAAGCTGGCGGAACGATTTGAGGATCAATTATCGAAACTTATAATATTGTGTAGCCCGTTAATTGATCCTCTATCCAGACAGCAGCGGAGTGAACCGTTACTGAGTTATGAGCATAATAAGAAAGTGTTGGCACTTTGCCAAAACCGAAAATATAAAAGATCATGTTCTGAAACTTGGCAATTATTTAGTATTCAATATGTACGTTAGTAATCTCCAACCCGCATATCCGTATCAATAACCGTAACGGAATTCTAACCGTTTTAAAAATGTGAAGTTAGCGGAATTATTTAAAAATCAAGTACTTAAAATTATACCAAAATGTAGTGTGTTAATTGATCCTCCAGATCTTTAAGCCGAATGCCGAGAGTTTTAGGCAAAATAGAAAGGTTTTGGCATTTGCCAAAATTTAAAATTCGAACAATCATTTTTTAGTTAAAGCCAATATTTAGTGCCTTAAATGATTCTCCAAACGGAATGTCAAAAAATTAAAGGAAAATGAGATAACAACAAAATAAAGGTGTGAATTTTGACTTGCGGAACAATTAGAGGATCAATTACCGAAATTTATACCATTATGTAGCAATTGATCTTCTATCCGGAAAACATCTGAATGAACCGTTCGTGAGTTATGAACAAAAATAAGAAAGTATTCAAAACCGAAATATAAAAGATCATGTTCTGAAATTTGGCAATTATCTAGTATTTAATATGTACATTGTTAATCTCCAAACCTGATTTTTAAACACTAAAGGACAATTATCAATAAGGATTTTGAATTAAAACATTTGTTTTGGCCACAAGGGAAATTAATGAAAAAACAGGCGTTATTAAAACTGTAGTCAATTCATATTTTAGAAAAATACACATAAGTATAAAATTATTTAAATAAATGTATAGTTGTGTACAAGTGTAATCACTTTCACTTTTTTCGAACAAAAGCTGATTTTATATAACCACAATATATTTGTAAGTTGGTTGTGCCAATTCTAACACCTGATTGGTTGATGAAGGACATATAACGATCCTTCCTGTTTTCGATGTTATAATTGGCTAACAATATTAGAACAATCTAAAAAAACCCTATAAAAGTATGAAATTATAATCCTAGCAGTGGCGCAACTACTACAATTATTCGGACCTCTTCCTGACATAGAAGAACCTCTAGAGATATACATTGGATAGGTTAAAATCATAAATAAAAACCTAAGTAAACCATATATATTACTAAAAACTAGTTTCACATCGAGGCAAATGCTGGACCTGCAAATGGAGGTCATTCTCATAATTTTATCACCAACAGTAAACACTAATCGATTTATGGCGTAACCGACTACGTCTTTACACGCAGCAAGATAATAGATTTTTCGGATGCACTAATAAGTGTGGCGTAGCACCATCCAGGGCCCAATTTGAAATATTTTCTTATCAACAGACATTCCGGAATTCGGTAGAAAAAGACAATAACTTTATGGAAAGAAATAATTCGGACAACTGACATCGCTAATAATCCACTAAATTCGAGTAACACTGCAGATAGCCCATACCACTACAAATGCCAAAATGTATTTACCATAATTATCTCCAATCAAAACAATAAGGCGTCACCAATTCTATGGACATCCCCAACCCCTCATTTTGGATTACCTATCTCCTAATCATCATACTCAATATCGATTATAAAGTTCAAAAGCCACCAGACGCAGAGACGTCACCATCCCCGGATTTTTTAAAAACAAGCACAACCACGACCTACACGAAATCACTGTACAACACATTCTATATCAAGAAAAAATTGTGGACTCAATTGGCTGAAAATATACAAATATCACACCAATAATAAAATAATAATTTTTTAAAAACAATCTTTTTATTTTCTTCGTAGTAATTAATAAATCAGGCTTAAGCGCTGGGTTGGCATCTACTTGCATCAACCTGTCTTTGCGTATGGACGTTATATGTAGCTATATCTAGAGTTTTTTCTTATAATATAATGATTATAACCAATAACAAATGTATATTTAACTAAGATCTGATAAAATAAGATTTAATATCTTACTTGAGGATCGTACTATTTCAAGTTTGTCAAGGTTTCCCCGAAATATATTCGTAAGTTACTTATGATTATTTTATAACTGAAGAAAAGAAAAATATAATAGGGTATTTTTATTTTTAAAAAAATTTTACATTTACTCTTAAAAACCCAGAAGTATATTCAATCCTGATTATTTTTGCATAACTCAAAATTACGATATATTTTATGCTATTTTTATTATTTAAATATGATTCTGTATCTATCTATTTATGCTTCCTTCTGATTATCATGTATAATTGACGAAAGTAATCTACTATTTAAATAAAAAATTTATATTTATTATCGGAAAAATTCATACCAATAAAGCTTACCAAATTGACCCCTCGAAGAATATTCGTGATATTAATATTTTGCATTATGTTAATAAAAAAATATATCTAATTTTTATTTCTATCCACTAATAAAAAACATGCATACTTTGGCGATACGTAAATAGATAATATTTTTTTTTAGATTTATCTCCTCACTCAAACCTAAGTTATATATTTTTTTAAAACTTTCCTCAGGATTTGTGATCTGTTTCATCGAATTTTGTATATTGGTATAAGAAAAAAATGAAAATTTACTAGCTTATACCACTTACTCGCTAAGATATGGGTGTTTAAAGAGCAGAAAATGATACATTTTTGACAAAATGCACTTCATTAATTTTCAAATATCTCGAGATCAACTTTAAATAATTTAAATTTTATTATATAGCCTAATAATAGATCTTTATTATAAAATATAAATAAATGTGATAGAAACTCGATTAATAACAAAAACCGGAAGTACAAAACCAAAAATGGCAATAGAAAATAAAGATATTTTTTTCAAATTTTTTTCTGTAGATGTATACCAAACTGCTTTATATTTGTACAAAATCCTAGACTGGTATAAACGGGGTCTAGAAGTTATGATCCTTTATTTGGCTGAAATTTTTAAATTTTACATAAATATCATCTCTGATATTATAAAAATTATATTTTAAAATAAGTATAAATAGTGTTAATAAAATGGCATGCTAATAGTGAACTTGATCCAATAATAATATATAGTTGAGCATGACTCTAAATTGATAGCATTTGAAAATGTCATAAAAGGTTTGGCCTTAAAAAATTGTATCATAGAAAAGAGATAAAACAAAAATAATTTTTCTTTTTATATTGCTAAAATCTTTAATATCGAAAAATATGAATATTGATAATCATACATACTAGCAATTTAGTCCAACATATTAAAACGTACATTCCCAAAATAGAAAAAGGAGCAGAATTAAAAGGAATATGGTTTATCACGGTATGTATGTCCTATTTCATATATCAGTCATAGATCCCAATATATAATTGCTAAATGATATAAAATTAATACTATAAGAAATTATTAATTGTTAATTTCTTAATAGGGTTTGAATATTTGGAAAGAAAGTTGCTGTAGTTGTGCTTAAGATTAAATTTCCTCCAAAGTTGACTTAACAATTTTCGCATTAATGGTAAAAATTTGAACAAATAATCAAAAATCTCACTTAATTCGATTTCTTACAATAATTTTCTTTCTACTTACATTATTAAAAAGGCTTCTAGATAATCCTGTCCAATATTTTCTCAGACTATTTTTAATTTGCTGAAAGTTTATTTTCAACCTACTTGTGGAAAGATAAATGAGAAGATATTCGCACTATATTTATGTTGGCATATGCAGATGTATGCATATCATATCAGCATAACGTCTTATATATAACAAACATTTTTTGAATTTTGTATTGCATTTAGTTAAATGTTCTCCACCATTCTTTTTTTCATAAACTTAAATAAATTCTTCATTTTCACTTTCAGGTTCAGCTGTATCACTTAGATTAATCCAATCGTCTATACTCTTCTTCAAGTCAATGAGTAGATTGTTATAAATTCTAGAAAATAAAATTAGTTCCGCTCAGCTTCTATCTTCTCTAACGAAGAGATTCTTTTCAATACCTTCCCTATTAATTTCATTAAAACATCGAAGGAAATAATAATTTTCGAAAATCATTTTATAAAACTAGTTGCTATCTGATCTATGATATCCCGAAATACTTCAACTCTGTAAATTTGAAGGTTCATTTGGACGCTCATCTGAACATTCCTAAAAACACATCTTCTTTTACGATTAATTCTACACTGCATTCAGTTTCTATGCATATGTCATCGGGTATCATCAAATTAGCCAAATTTTTATTGATTGATAATGCCATATTTGTAAATTTTATATGGATTGAGACAAAATTTATAGAATTTAAAAAAAAAATTAGCATCTTTTCAAGCCATTTAAAATGCCCAAATGTTCGAATAAAAGAATTATTAATAATCAATCAAGATTTCCGAATTTCCAATCTACCTACTCGATCCCAGGAAAGGAAAATCCATAAACATTAACATTGAGATATGTTATATGATTTTAATAAATATGGTTGACTTTAGTTAGGGGGAGAGAATTATAAATCTTCTTAATATTTAGTGCACAACAAAAATAATAAGGACATCGAAAAGTTTTCTGGGCTAAACTAGGTAATTTTTATTTGAATTTAGGATAAATGTTTTACAAGATTTAAAAAATTATGGCAAAATTAAAATGATTATGAAAGAAACTTCATTTTATATATTATAAACTATTAAATATTTATATACATATATTAATATTCTATTTCCTCTATATAAAATAAAAATACTACATCTATATTATAATTTTCCGATGTCCTCACTACGTCATAATGACGTCATGTCATCGGTACGTATTTATTTATTTATTTTTTATTTGTTTAATTAATTTATTTATTTTATACAAACAGATGATCCTGCCATATTAAAACCAAAAAGTATACATTATTTACTATTGTTGATTTTGTTTATTTATTTTATACAAACAGATGATCCTATAACTTAAATTTTCTATGCAACTATGGGAGGCCATATTTAAAAAAAAGTAATACATTATTTACTAAATATTACAAATTATTAATATTTTATATCTCTAGGCTTGGGAAACTTTTTTCAAAATTTATACAACTGTAGGAGGTACAATAAAGCATATAATTAAAGAAGCATATAATTATAAAAAAGTTTATCAAGCCCAGCTACCCTTAATAATTTGTAAAAGATATTCCCATGTCCATTGATCAAGTCTTGAGTTTATACCAATGTTCATACACAGGAAAGTAATACATTATTTATTAGATATCACAAATTATTAAGAAAGCCCAATTATGGAGAATGAGATCTTTATTCATTTTTTACGATAGTGTCATGCCAGGTCCCACAATATTAGGAAGCATATAATTATAAAAGTTTATTAAGCCCAGCTCAACCCTTAATAATTTGTAAAAAATATTCCCATGTCAGGTGCAAGCTAATATTAGTTTTGAGGTTCCATGCCCAGTCATATTCAATATAATTTTGAAAATTTTTTCCCACCTAGGAGATAGTTAAATTTTTAATTGATTTACCATCACATGAATAGTAAATATCTGATTTACCCATTAGTTTAAATGTAAAAAAAACATAAATAATATTAGGCAGACCTAATTTTGTCATGATTCTCTAATAAATGCTTTGTTCGGGCTTTCTCAGTTTCCCTTATTACCAATTCACATGATATTTTTCAAAATTAGTGCAACCAATTGTCAAAGTAATACATTATTTACTAAATATTACAAATTATTAATATTTTATATAGAAATTCATAACTGAGTTAATTCAATAAATTTAATATCTCTAGGCTTGGGATAATTTTTTCAAAATTATTATGGGTTGGACTGGGCTTAAAAAATATTTCTCAAAATTAATATTGGCTTGGTTTTCAAAAATTATTAGGGATTGAAATGGGCTTGAGAAAATTTTTTTAAATTATTAAGATCTTGGATGCTTGCAGTGTCTACATGAGCGGGAGGAGTAGGAACAGTCCACACCCTCTTTTTTGAGGTGGGTAGGGGATAGGCTGCTTTAATGGGGGTAGGATAAATTTTTTGGGGGTTATCTATTAAATTTTAAGATGAAATAGGACAATATTTATTGCTGTAAAAATTAATACTTTTATTATAGAATTATTATAATACAATTCATCGACTAAATCTATATATTGCAAACAATCATACACATTGTTTTCCAAATAAATCTTTCTGCTATCCTTTTAAAAAAGGTTTAGATTTTCAGCAAGCTCATAATGCCATAATTATTAATTCATTGTAAATAATGGAGGTTTTAATTGAATTTATTATCTAAAAAATAAATTCTTTATATTCACAAAATATCGATAGTTGGTTAGGGGGGTAGGCAAAGGGTTTTGAAAGGGGTTTGCATTCAGTAAAAACCCTGTCATGTAGACTCTGGATGCTTGGAAATTTTTTCCAACTATTGTAGGCTTGAACCTATATTGGGATTTTTTAATGTTAAATGTTAGTCTTATAATATTTTTATAAACAAATATATTTTACCCGTAGACTAATTGGTAAATCAGAGATTTCCCCTTCATTAATTATAAATTTAATATCTCTGGGCTTGGTTTCAAAATTTTTATGGGTTGTGGGCTTAAAAAATATTTCTCAAAATTAATATTGGCTTGGTTTTCAAAATTATTAGGGATTGAGGTGGGCTTGAGAAAATCTTTTTAAATTATTAAGATCTTGGATGCTTGGAAATTTTTTCCCAAATATTGTAGGCTTGAACCTATATTGGGATTTTTTAATGTTAAATGTTAGTCTTATGTTAATATTTTTATAAAGAAATATCTTTTACCTGTAGACTAATTGGTAAATCAGAGATTTCACCTTCATTAATTATAAATTTAATATCTCTCGGCTATGGGTTGGACTGGGCTTAAAAAATATATTTCACATTTATATTGGCTTGGTTTTCAAACGGTATTTATATATTATTAAAATTATTTTATACTTATTCACAAGGATCCTATTTTTTTTTAAGTTTGCCAATTGATATCTCTAAATGGTATTTTATTTATTCCTACCTTATAAAATTAACTTGAGAATTATTATTTTTTTTACTTTAGAAAACTATCCCCATCTTATTTCCTCTTTATAATTGTTCAAATATTGATATATCAGCCATTAATAATGAACAAATGCAAAATACCTTTAGAATATCACATAGGCTTGATAAGCCTCCCCCCTCCCAAATATTTTTGATGATATCTTTACAAATACTAAATATATGCATCTAATATTGACCCATCTACTGGTTTAGTATTTTAATGTTCGTTTTATTTCAATAATAATGTTTATTTATATTTTTGCCTGATTTCTTTATTTGTCTAGGCTAACCCAATCTTCATCCCTTATATTGCTACAAAACATGATGAATCTATTAAAGATAAGCAAAGAAAATAATGACTAATAAACAAACGCCTTGCCTGTAGAGTTACTGGTAGCCAAAATAATAAAAAACTACGGTTGAAATTAACTCCTCTGGAGGTTTATTATTTTTTTTATCTTATGTTTTATATTTATATGTTTATTTTATTTTCACCCAGTTGCCTCCAAATGATATTTCTATCACCATTACCACCCTATGCCACCTCTGCCTATTTTTTAACAAATATAAGCATTCAATTCCGTACTATCATTCACTTCACTAGGAGTTATTATAAATATTACTTTATCTGATTCTTTGAGAAACTTTCATGATTATTTAGAGGAATGTTCAAACTTGAATGTGCAGTACGGCCATTTTCATCAACTTTATTAATGGAAAAATATGCAGTAGTTCTGTCATGGCCTTTATAACAATTCTTACTACCTGTTATGGTTGAGTTAACAATGCGTTCATGATTCTATTTTAGAGGGGGCTACCAATGCTGACATTGACAGAAATATCATTTTGGGTTCTTCATTTACCAGTATCCCAAGGCATAGGCATATGACTCATCTTTATCAGGACGTATTGTGTTTTGTACACTGCTTTGGTAATCCATCATTACTTTCACCTACCCTAAATGATATGAAATTGTACTTTAATTATTTCCTTTCCAGACCTTCCAGATTTATTTTGTCTCTTTTTCCATCAAAAATAAAAATGTCAACAAGGATTTGCTCTTAATTTTATCAAATACACAACAAAATAATTATTCCTCATAATTTTTTAAAAAAATTAGCTAAAATTTATATGTCAATAAAAAATATTTTATAATTTGCATATAAGTTTCATTAGTGTTTAATGTCATTTTTGTTATTTAAATAGATAGCATTTTTTTTACTTAACATAAAATATAGACAAATAATTTGGGAAATGCAAGCATACATTAAATTTATCCGAAAAGCTACAATAACCCTATATAATAAACAACAATTTATTTTTTATATATAATTATAATTGATCATATTACCAAAAATTATAAGAGTCTGTTATTTTTATTTTATTGATTCTCTAATAAGTGGTTTGCCCAGGCCTTCCCAGTTTTCCTTAATACGGAATTCACATGTTATTTTTTTACATCTTAAACTAATTGGTAAATTAGACAATTCCCCTTCATGTGATGATAAATCAATTAAAAATTTAACTATCTCCGAAGTGGGAAAAAATTTTCAAAATTATATTGGATATGACTGTGCTTGGAACCTCAAAATTTATATCAGCTTGCACCTGACATGAGAATATCTTTAACAAATTATTAAGAGTTGAGCTGGGCTGGATAAACATTTTAATAATTATATGCTTCCTAATTTTGTGAGCTTGGATCTGGCATGATATCTATCGTAAAAAAATGAATAAAAATCTCATTCCCAGTTATTTTTGACGCGCTTTCTACTAGTATTTATAATTATATAAATGAATTAAATATTTATTTGCAGCTACTTATTTTAGGCCAGTAATATAAAATGTCTATAATTGAATCTACATTTTATGAACTAATGAAAATAAGGAAATGGTTTTAGTTTTTGAATATTAAAGGCTAAAGATTTAAATCCATTTTTTAATATTTCTTTATAGCGCATATAGTGCTTATAATTCCACCAGAAAATTAAATTATCATTTAATAAATATTTAAAATTTATTTTGTATAAATACATACTTAGATTTTACACAAATTATTTTAAAAAAAATCTTTTTCTTTCCTAAAGCCCAAATTTCTTTTCTAAAGGGCCCTAATATTAAAAAACTATGAGGCCCTGTGGGACCTTTTACCACTAGGTTTACTGGCCAGTCCGCCCGATTGACGCCACTAACATAAGGTAAAAATTTTTTTTAAAAACCTATCATCACGGTCGACTGTTAATCACACTTTTCTCTTCAATCTGCAGCTTAAAAAAATATAAAAAGAAAATAAAAATATATTGACTATATAAATTTTTTTAATATTTATAAAAATAATAAAATAAAGGAAAAACTGGTTCAAATTTAACACTATATAAAGTTTTTTGCAGGGGCTCGGCCTTTCCATAAAAGTTGAAATGGGGGTTAGAAATTTAAAAAATTAGCAGGAGTGTTTGTTTAGAATCTTTCACTTCAAAGCAACACACTTCTGGTTTTATCATGAAGAGTATTGAATTCTTAATAATTCATTCTGATTGAGGATCACAAGAAACACTAATTCTATCGTCTCTATAATATTAACCTCGCAGTAATAATACTTTAGAAGCAAATTAATTATGATTTATTAACTGTCATTGGTCACGTGAGAGGGGGCAAATACATACGTTAATTCTTTTTGTGATAGATTGTAAACATTGTTATTTATAAAATGGCTAACAAAATTGATATGTCCCTAGATGATATTATTAACGCCAAAAGATTTAGAGGAAGAGGTAGGGGTAGAGGAAATAGAAGATTTCTCAATAATCCTAGAAAAAATGTAATATATTTATATGAATACATGTTATATATATATTTATATAGGTGTCTAACAGATCTATGAACGGCAAATTGCAAACATCAAAAAATACATATCCGAAAAGAAAAGTTAGTCAACCGAATGTTTTTTTATCTGGAGCTAATTCCTTCGGAGGGACAGGAAAATTATTGATATCAAATTTGGATTTTGGTGTCACTGATTCTGATATTCAAGTATTTAATATCTATAGAATCATGTTTACATTATGAATATTTTTTAAAAAAATTACAGGAACTTTTTGGTGAATTTGGACCAGTATTAAGTGCTTCTGTTCATTATGACAAGACTGGTAGGTCTCTTCAAACTGCAAACGTTATATTTGAAAAAAAACTTGATGGCTTACAAGCTATCAAAAAGTATAACAACATTCCCTTAGATGGTAAAACATAATTTAAAAAAAATATATTTTTTTAAACTTTACATACATTTCAATACAATTTTTAATTTCAAAATTTTATTATATGATTTTATGTTGTTAAAATTTAAATAATATAGAATATTAGTTGTTTCTGCACTGATTACTAAATATTGATTCAATATTTTGTTGATACCAATTTTCAGATCAGAGATCTGCAAAGTCAATGCCATGGGTCAAGCTGGGCTGGGAAAATTAAACAAAAAAATATAATGGGTTGCAGTATATTTTTTTAATTATCAGGCAATATATACTAAAGGAAATAACATGCTGTAATAAATTCCTACATATAAAATATAGCCTGGCCTCACAAATAATTGATTATATTTGATTAAAGAAATAAAATGAGCTTATTTTTTTATACATTAATAATAGGTAAGTCACAGAAACTAGGAGAATTTTTTAAATTTATTTTTTAAATATATATTTTATGAAGAAATAATTAATATGCGATTATGTGGCTATAGGTAGAAATTTTTTGATGTAATAATAATTCAAAGTTTCATTAAGTTAAGAATTGCATATATATAATATTTTTTTAAATTTAACAAATATTTTTTTCCACTTTTTATGGATTACATAAATTTTACCTAGATCATTTTCATATACAAGAACTATGGCTTTTTAAAAGATCATGACCTTCTTATAAATCACACATGTTGTTATAATAGCATGAAAATGTGAAAAAATGCAGCATCTTATAACGTAAAATTCTCACCATGTTCAAGCGCCTATTCTATATGGAAGGGTTTAATATTGTATTAATTTAATTTTATTAATTACGCACTATATTTGAAAATATTAATCTTCATATTCATCTATTAACTATTGGAAAATGGTAAAATATATCTAAAATTTGTCGATAAGTTGGTATGCAATATTTAGAAAAATTTGCTGCCATGCACAAGCCATTTCTTTTGAAAAAATAGGGGACCATGGGCATGTGATCGAAATAGATGAATCCCATATTTTTAAAAGGAAAAATAACACAGAGAGGATTTTAAAATCAAATGCCATTTGGGTTGTAGGTGTGATATCAAAAAATGGTGGAAATTTTTTTGTTGACGATACTGAAAAAAAGAGATAAAGAGACCCTTCTGAGTATAATCAGTAAGCACGTTCATACTGATTCAACAATAATGAAGGACAAATGAAAAGTGTAAATTATTGATAAATCTTTAAATATAATAATATTCCTAACAATCTTAATGAAAATAGATATGATCATTACTCGGTTAATCACAACAGAAACTTTATAGACCCAAATGATATATCAGCCCATACTCAACATATTGAACGTTTATGGAGGGATCTTAATGTGAGCCCCCAGAATTGGAAGAAAATCTTCCTCTCATTTATATATATATATATGTGAATTTCTTAATATTAAAAATGTCAAATTTAAGTAAATTAATTAAATTTTTAAATGATAGCGTTTCTTTAAAATTATATATATCAATATTATCTTTGTTTATATATTATGTTTATTCAAATAAGTTGATTTTTTTAGTATTTGATTTAATAGTTCTAACTTAGTAGCATGTAATAGCATACACTTTTTTGAAGTTTTTAATAATATACTCCATTTTTAATGTAAAATTAAAGAATTGTGAAAATTTTTATTTTTTAAAAAAATGATATTAAAAATTTCCCCTAGCTTCAGTGACTTGAATAATGGATTATGTACATCAGGTAATTAAAAGAAAAAATTTAATTTAAAATAATTTTTAGAAAATAACATAATTTATCAGTGAATTTGAAAATAATTCTATACATTTACAAAAAAAATAAAGATTAAATAATAAATTTTACCAAAAAATCACTATTCAGGTTATGAATATTTAATCAAAAAGAATGGTGAAAATTTTATTTGCCTAAAATGTCAAAATAATTGTGGGGGCAGAGCAAAGTTTTCTTTAATTTATGTTGATATTATAAAACAACATATACCCAATTGTAAATGTACAAAATAAAACATTTATCTGTTATTTCATTTTTTCAGAACAAATATTACCAAATAATTATAGTAGATACTGATTTAAATTAGGGAATTTATTATATATTTTCAAGAAATATTAATGCCAAGGCTAGAGCCCAATATGCCAGTTAAGTGCAATTAAATATAATTACATTGAACTGGTGCTGGTATATTACATCATATCTCTTGTATTGATGAATCTTGAAAGTATAAAATAAATTATTGGCATAATTTACCTCCTGTTATAAACAAGACTGGCCTTAACCCTATCTGAGGTTCTAATGAAATTGAATATAAAATATTTTGAAAATGATTGCAAACAATTATATTTAATCACATTGAAGTGGTATAGTAGGCTTTAACCTTGGTATTGGTGTATATTGAAAATATAAAATAAATTGTTACCATTATGCAACCTTTTGTTTTCTTTATTTTTTTTACTTTATTGGCTAATTCGACAATAAATTAATAGATTTTCTGAGTTTTCACAAATACTAATAGGGTTATTCCATGTCAAATGAGCAAAAAAATCAAGATTTTCGGCCGACCCCTTTCAATTTCGATAAAAAGTTGTAGACTGGTTATATATGTTCCCATTAGATTATAAACAAAATTTTAGCGCATTAGCAACTATATTAGCCGAGATAATCGGGGTTAAAGGTCCAAAAAACGTCTTTTTTTGCTTTTTACTGATGTCAAATAATTAGTTTTTAATTTAAAACTAAATATGATCAAATATTGAATCTAATACCAATAGCTAAGTTAATAATTTATGATTATGACAAAAACATCAAAATTAATTTTTTATAAAATATGGGTCATCTTATGGTCAGTTGAAAACTTGAAATTAATATTTCGAAATGTATATGATCTCCGATTTTTAATTTTTTTAAGAAATATTATCCGTTTACTATTTTTTTAATAATTTCTTCAACAATTTGCATGGCTGGATATTTATTTTAAAAAATATTGCGATTTTTATACTTTAAAAAAAATAGATGGCGCTATATATAATAGTTTTAATATGTTAAAATTTATTTTTTTATTGATTAAAAATATTTTAATGTATAATATATCATAAAATTAGATTATATAACTTTGTAAACCTTATTCCCTTGAGATATTCGCAGGATAAAAATTTTTAATAATTTTTTTAATATTTCAATGTAAATTAAAAATAATTAAAAAATCCGACTAACATGCGAACAAAAAAGCAGGATTAAAGGAGTGCAGGAAAATTATTAAGGGAAAAATCGAAAATCATATAATTACCCGGCCTACCCCCCACCCCCACTCCAGACTAAGTCATACCCATCAAGACCAAGAATGTTATAAAATTGTCATTAACCAGAAAATTTCAAAGATTTTTAAAAAAATTTTAAGCGATATAATTAACAAAAAATTAACTAGTTATAAAATTTTGGGTATCAAATGAATTTGAGCATTCTCTATAAAATTTTTGATCAAAGTCTTTGAATTTTGAGCATATGTTTAACACTGAAAAAATTAATAAAAGTAAGTCAGCTGTTTTTATCTTTTCTTAAAATTATTAAAAATAAACTGATTAGCAAAATTAATTAGCGAATTTAATCAATAAATCACAGTTGCTAAAAATACAAATTGATTTCTTTAATATTTTTTCACAAACACCGATTCATATCTTTTACATATAAATATTTTTACTTGTCATTTAAAAATAAATAAATTTTTTTAAATGAAACCCTTAAAAGATAAGATAAAATGTTGCAATCCACTGAATAAAGTTAATCATAAAAATTTTAAAAAAAATTTAAGATCAGTTCTTCCATGGATGCTTAATATAAATAATCATTTATATCTTCAACAAAAAATATGTAATTCGTGCCGATACCAGTTAAGTAAAATTGGTCCACATATTCCCGAAGAATTTATATCCCCAATAACCCATAATCAGGATGCCTTTGAATCGATTAATGAAACATTACACAATATTGGAGAATCACCAATTAAAAGAAAACGTTTAATGGAGAAAAAATATCCTAAAAATAAAATTCAAAAGATTGAAAAAGCAATAAAGAGTAAGGTTTTAGAAATATCTGATTCCGAGATTGATAGTCCAATGAAAGAGGAAATTCTTATTATATTAAAGGATAACTTTGATAAATTATCAAAAAAATCAACAATATCAAATTCTTACAATTTTGCCTCAAGGATGGAGTGTAAATAAAATTCAAAAGGAATTCAACGTAACATCATACATGGCAAGAAAATCTAAAATGATGGTAAAAGAAAGTGGAATTCTTTCATTTCCAAAACATAAGGCAGGAAAGACACTAAACGAAAAAACATTTAAACTCGTCAAGGATTTTTATAGTTCTGATGAAATAAGCCGACTCATGCCAGGAATAAAAGATTGTGTATCTGTTAAAGGCGAGAAAGAACCAGTTCAAAAAAGACTTATATTAAATAATCTTAAAGAAATATTCAAGATGTTTAAGGAAGAATACCCAAATATATCAATTGGATTCTCTAAATTTGCCGAACTTAGACCAAAAAACTGTATTTTAGTTGGAGCTAGTGGCACACACACTGTTTGTGTCTGCGCTATTCATCAGAATGTGAAATTAATGACAAATGTAATAGTTGAAATTACAGCAGGAGAAGATTACTGTATAAATTCTTACAACTATCTATTGGCGCAAATTATTTGTAATCCATCTCAGCCAAAATGTTATTTAACAAATTGTGATCAATGCCCTGGTATAGAATCTCTTAAGGGACAATTATACCAATTGTTTCAGAGAAATCGTATAGAATATGTCACGTTTAAACAATGGATCACGGTGGATAGAACAAATCTTGAAACTATTATAAAGTCCGTTGATGATTTCATCGATTATTTATTAGAAAAAGTTCAAATTTTACTGCGTCACTCGTTTATAGCTAAACAACAAAGTTTATTTTTGAAGAATTCCAAAGAAAATTTAAAAGATGGGGAATTTTTAAC